GAGGTCTTTTAATGTTTATTGGCCATATGTGTGTTTTCTTTGCGGCAATATCTATTCAGATCCTTTGATCACTTTTTAATTGGGTTGTCTTTTTTATTATTGAGTTAAATCTAGAATATATAAAGTCTCTTACTAGATATATGATTTGCATTTATTTTCTGTTATTCTGTGGGTTGTCTTTTCACCTTCTTAATGGTGTCCCTCAAAGCACGAAAGTTTTTAATTTTCAGGAAGCCTTCTATTTTTTTCTTTTGTGGTTTTTGTTTCTGCAGTCACACCTAAGAAACCATTGCCTAATCCAAGGTCATGAAGAATTAACCCTGTTTTCTTCTAAGAATTTTAGTTTTAGCTTTTACCTAGTTTTTTGATCCATTTTGAGTTAAAATTTGTGTATGGTGTGAGGTTGGGGACAACTCCATTATTCTGCCTGTGGATATCCAGTTGTACCAGCACCATTTGTTGAGAAGATGATTCTTCCATTACATTTTCTTGACGCCCTTATCAAAAATCAACTGCTCAGAAATCTGAGGGCTTATCTCAGGACTTTGAAACCTATCGCATTGACCTGTATGTCTACTTCACGCCAGCACCACAGTTTGATCACTGTAGTGAGTTTTGAATCAGTACGTATGAGAGAGACCTCCAATTTTGCTCTTCTTTGGCAAGAAAGATCATTTTGGTTTTTCTGGTTCTCTTGAATTTTCACTGATTTTAGGATTGGCTTGTCAATTTCTACAAGGAAGCCAGCTAGGCTTGCAAGAGACAGGGATTGCGTCAAATCTGTAGGTCAACGTGGGGAGTATCACCATCTTAACAATGCTAACTTTTCCCATTTATGACATGCAATGTCTTCCCATTTACTTGAGTCCTTAATTTCTTTCAACAGTATTTCATAGTTTTCAAAGTATCGGGGTTTTTTGTTAAATTTATTTCTAAGTATTTTATTCTTTTTGACCATAGTGTCACAGGAATTGTTTTCTTTAATTTTCTGACTGTTCAACAAAAGCACATAGAAATAACATCTGATTTTTGTATGTTGATCTTGCATCCTGCAACTTTGATGAATTCATTTATTAGTTCCAATAGTTTATGGCTTCTTTAGGATTTTCTATACACAAGATCATGTCAACTACAAACAGAAACAGTTTTACTTCTTCCTTTCCAATCTGGGCAACTAGAACTGCCAGCACAAATGCTGAACAGAAGTGGTGAGCAGAGATCCTTGTCTGATCTGAGGGGGGAGAGCAACCAGTATTTTATAACCAGGTGTGATGTCAGTGGGGTTTCCAAAGATGCCCTTGATCAGGCTGCAGAAGGCCCATTCTAGTCCTATTTTGTCGAATGTTTTTATTATCATAAAGAGGTATCAAATTTTCAGATACCTTTTCTATGTCTATGGTTTTTGTCCTTTATTCTAGTAATACGGTCTATCATTTTAATTTTCAGATATTAAACCAAATGTGAATTCCTAGAATAAATATATTTGGTCATGGTGTATAATCCTTTTTATATGTTGCTGGATTTGATTTGCTGGTATTTTGTTGCTAATTTTTACATCCCTATTCATGAGAGATATTGGTCTCTTATTTTCTTGTTATGTCATTTTCTGGTTTTGGTATCAGAACAATCCTGGCCTCAAAGAATGAGTTGGTTATGTCCTTTCCTTTTATTTTTAGTAAGGGATTGAGAAAAATTAGTAGTAATTCTATTTCCTATATTTGGTAAAATTTACCAGTGAAGCCATCTGGGCCTGGGCTTTTCTTTGTGAATCATTTTTAATTACTATTTCCATCTCTTGTTATAGACTTATCCAGATTTTCTACTTCTTTCTTATTTTCTATTTCTTCAACTACCATTTTAACAACAATTTATGATCTGGCTACCTCACTGTGGCACAGGTAGTAAGTGCCCCACATTCCCAAATACCAAAGTTCTTGACATACTCACTTAAACTGTAATGTGACTTTGGATAATCTGTCGTGATTTCAGAGCCAAACTTAAACTCAATGCACATCCTGAACCCCCTAGCCCCTTCTCAGATGCATTACTGGTTGCTAGCATTCTCCCAGTATTTCCTCAGGAGCAAACGTGGTAGGAAGTGAGTTGAGTAACAAGGTCATATGCACTTTGGTAACAAGAAAACAAGGAAGTAGAGAAACGCTGCCACCACAGCACTTTGAGGGTCTGATGGATGTTCTACACCCTCTTACAGGCTCCTGTCCTCGTCATCCAGCACATCTTCTACACATGACATCTGCAAGTTTTCGAAAGGTACTGTTATTTGTCACCCTTTCTTTATGTGTTCAAAATAATAAAGCCAAATAATGAGACGACAGTCTCTGGAGTCAAACCAAGAGTCACTGACAAGTTTTTTAACTCTTCTGGACTTTGGTTTCTTATCTATAACGGAGGAGTAGTAATCATATCTACCTAAAAAGGTTTTTAAGAGAGTAAATAATACACAAAAAGTGTTTGAAACAATGGCACCTTTACGTACCATATCAAAGTATAAACCACACCACTAACAAAATACATCTGATCTTAGTTTCTAAAATAGTTCCAGGTTGTTAGGATGTAGAAAAGTATACTTTCCACACTCTCTGCACTGAGTAGCTCTAAGGACTGACATTGCATAGATCATATGAGAATAATAAATGTCTCCATTCTCAAGGAAATCCACCCAGCAGAAGAAAACAATGCATGGGAGGTGACAGAGCATCATAATTAAAAGCACAGCCTCTGGAATCCAGTGGACCTGTGTTCAAAATCTGGATCCACCTTCATCAGCTGTTACCTTGAACGAGACTTTTCTAAGCTTCTGTTTACTCATTGATAACATGGAAAAAATAATGCTATAAGGAGATGTGATGAGGATGAAGACAATATTTATGAAGTGCTTGGCACATACAGCCACCTTATAAATAAAAACTACTTTCATTAGGTTTCAAATTTTTTTGTTTTAATTTAAAGAATTGTTTAATCAATAAAATAATAAGGCAACAATGATTTTGGCCCATGGGTTCTCAATTCTGGCGGTACACGTGACTTACCTGGAAATCTTTGAAAAAGAAAGGTTGCCTAGACTGCACCTAAGACTAACAGAATCGGATTCTCTGAGGTTGTACCTGGACAGAAATATCTTTAAAAGCTCACCAGGTAATTCCAACATGCAGCTGAGAGTGAGAACCGTAAGAGCTGGCCAGAAAAAGAAGTCCAATTTTTACCATCTGAAACTAATTTTTGTAATAGCTACTCTTCTTACGAAATAAGCCCATCGGACCTGCTCTCTCATGTTAGAAATGCTCCTATCTGAGGGTGAAATGGAAGCCAAGACAGTCTGAACCAGTCATTTCTGGGAGAAACAGAGGGCCAGGTTTAAAACTCTAGTCATGCCCTGAAGCCCAGACCTCTTGTTTAGATGTACTTCTAACTGCCACCATGTCCTCAGCTGCCAACGTAATCACGACAAGCTCCCATTAAATTCCTTTAATGCACTTACTCCCTTAGAATACAGTCCAGACTCCCTAACGGGAGCACCGCCCTTCAGAATCTGGCCTCACAATGCACATGGGGAAGACAAACCACACACGTGCAGACTGTGCCGGTACTGACCTAAACAGCCAAACCACCAACCGCCCAAGGCGACACTACTCCATCTCCATGGGCAGTGAATGTGCCAAGGAAAACAGAATTACAACATGAATGGTGCCCCTGGAATTGGGCAGCATGGCAAGACGGCTGGCCCGTCTCTCTCTCTCTAGCCTCATGTCTCTCTGATCCCCCTTTTTGATCTCACGCTCATTGCCCCTTCTCTCACTTTATCACCTTAACACATGCTTTTCCCTCTGTATAAAACACCAGCTCCTTATTCTGCAAACCTCAATGACAATGTCACTTCCTGGAAGAAGTCTTCCCTAACAGCCGCCGCCACCACTGTCCCACCCCAGGTTAAATGTGGCTGCCATGTTTTCCCATCGTACCAGCCAGCTCCCCTACCAGCATTCTCATGCATCAGTGCTACTGAGTGCAAGGACCACGTGGCCTGGCTCACTGAATCCCAGAGCCTGGCACCTAGAAGGGGCTGATGGACAGTGGAATGAAGAGGGCCCAGAAGCAATTCTGAGCTGACCCATGACAAAGGGCCTTTCTCCCGACTGAGGTCTCACTTTGCATCTCCTCCAAGGTGAACTCTGTGGGAAATGTTAAAAACAAACCTCGGTGTTACACATACAATGATGTGTTCCTCCAATTTTTTATAAGTTTGAAATTTTTCATAAACTTTTGCGGTAAAAATAAAGTGAGTTCTACCTCCATCCCTAATCTGGTCTTTCTTGCTGAATATTATTTAGCCACAGGATACCCAGCAACAACCTGTCACAATCATTTTCCCATCATCCGATGGCAGAGCCACTGGGCAGAGAGTACCAAACTGCTGCTAGAATTAAGAAAGTATGAAAGAACATATAGAATCTGCAATAAGAGGCAAAATGCTTCTGCCAACAGCCAGATACCAGTTTCCTCACAAATGCTGAGATTTCATCCATTTCCTCCAATAGCCTTTCCTACAGGAGAGCAGAACTGCTGTCCAGGTCTGAGAACAGGAAGAAGAAAAAATTGCCGGACAGAGTGAGCAAGCTGCAGTGATGCACTAAGTCAGGGGGCCAAGTGACATAAGTCAGCTTGCTCTGGGGCAGGCTGACCAGCCAACCACTGACCCGCTAAGCATGCTCACTTCTGGCAACCACCTAATGTGCAGAACACCGTTAACGCTAGAGAGAAACCCCCTGTTCAGACAGCCATTCTCCAAAGATTGTGTGCCACAAACAGTTCTCTCTAGAAAAAACCCTGAAAAAGATATTAACTTGTGAAGTTCAACAGATGAAGAAAGTAGAACCAAAACCCTCACTTCCTGTTCCCTCTGCTCCCTCCTCAGTAGCATTTCTGAGGCAGAGGACAGAGACGTCCGTGTAGCTGACCTAAGCTCTGACACTTGCCATTACCTCTTGCTGCTTCTCTTCATTGGGGTAGGTGTCTACAAATACTCCCAGCCCCACAAATTTGTCCATGTTTCCAAACACAGGCCCTAGAGAGAGAGAACAGATGAACAATGAAATAAAGCAGGAGTTGATAAAGGAATCCTACAGCACTACGATGGAGAAAAAGTGAAATTCAAATGACTCCCAGGCCTCAGTTATGATGAGAAAGCACGTAAAAGCACCCAGCAGAGTGCCTGGCCTGTAACAAACACCAAGAAGCATCTGCAATTGTTTGTTACTGAAGGCGGGGAAGAAAAGGCCGCTCAACCCTGTTTAGCACTATAGCTGCTTCCTGGTCCCAGTTGGTTGCTAAGGTGCCCCTAAAGAACTCTGCTTCACAAACACCTGATGACGACCATGCCCCGAGAGAGATATGAATTCCCAAGTTCAACTTCTTGTTGCAAAAGAGACCAAGTCGCATCAGGCGGAGTCGGCCCTCTGCTTGGAGCAATGGCTCCTACACAGCAGGGGGAAACAGATACCTCTTCTCCACCCAAAAGTGCTGAGGTCGGTCCCAGTGCCACCCCTGAAGGGTCACTCACCTAGTTGTCAGTGTTCAGAAGAGCCAGCGCCTTCACCCAGCCAACAGGCCAGGTGACTTCACGGGGAAGTCAGAAGGAACTAATAAGCAAGAAATGGCCCCAGGATGAGTCAAAGTCAGCTGTTTACGAGGACTCAGACCCCATTCTAGAGACTAAACAGGCCAGTCTTTATCCAGATATCAAGGGAGAGGGAACATTGCTGGCATTGTGGAAATGCACCCTTCTCAAAAAGAGGAAACATGAATAACCAGGCCAGTCACACTCCACAAGAGCAACCCAAGATCCCAATACCTGGCTGCATCCGATCCTTGGTATACCAGATGGCCAAGCCGTCCCCATGCAGATTCTTCTTCCCTTGTCCATGGATTCTGAAGTGCACCTGCAACTCCCAGTCTCTCAGGAAACATGGCTAAAGTGAAAAAGACACCAAGGTCAGTGAAAAAGCATGAAACACGAACCCTTCAAGCCCTCATCAGTGGTCTACAGACTTGGAAACATAAATGTAGGATACGTGAAGCTAAGGTCTAAAACTGAAATCTAAGACTTGCTACTTATCTGTGTCACAAAATTAAACAGATTGAGCCACTTCACTGTACGTGAGATTTAATATGAAAAGTGAATAAACCTCCCAATTATCTTCAGTGTTTCTCAATGCAAACAGGACAGTACATCAAAGCTGGAGAAGACACGCAAACGCCATGGAAAGCTACCGTGATCCCACATCCAGCCCAGTGGCTCACCCCAGAGAGGATAGGTGGCTGCATGAACTCACTTGCAGCTCAGGATCACTTCTCTGACAGAAAGATTCTAAAAAGCTTGGCTTTAAAGGAAGGTTGAAACCTCATTCATTGCAAATGAATAAGAAAAACTAAGTTGTCATGCAACAGTTTCCGGGAATAATTAGCAGATGCTATACACAATTCTAATTAGTTAGACTTGGTCCTATGCCAAGCTGAGGGGTGAGCGAGAGTTCCCATGACAGGGAGTAAGTTACAGTTGCCAAAACCTCATGCTCATGGCCAAGAGGCACAAACGCACTAGTAAGACCACCAGCATCACCACCACCACAGCCAGCCTCTGATGCGGAAACATTATGGACATGGGTACAAATCAGGCCTATTTCTTATTTTGAATTGTGTATCAAACCTTGGGAAAACGAAGAAGGAGGTAAGTGGATGGTTAAGCGCTTTAAATAGGTGAATGCTTCCAAGTAGAAACCAGAGTGGGTGTTTGGTTTGGAGACTCCTGGTTGAAGATCGCTGTGTGTGAAGAAAGTCAGGGAAGAGGAGTGGACAGACCATGGGGCTCAGCCAAAGGCTCTCCAGATAGATTGTTCTGGCTCTTGGCAACAAATTGTTAGGTCATTTTCAGTTTTCAGTTTAATTCTGGGAAATCTCTCAAAAGTACTAGTAGTAGGAGTACACAATCCAAATGAAAGGGTGCAGAATCTTTTGAATTTACCAACAAACCCTGAAATCTCCCTACCTGTGTTATTCTCGGTTCTCATCTTTCTGCTGTTACATTTAGATTTCAGGGCAAGGGTGGAACTCAGCAGCAGGAAGCTGCTCGTAGCCACTGGGTAGGTGTCAGGCTCCTGGGAAGAGGGCAGGGCCTGTGAGGCTTGCGCCAAGCCGTGAGGTGTCTGTTGCTTACCCTGGCCCATGCAGCACAGTGCTCTGCAGCTCAGCTCAGGGCCATGTCTAGCAGCAGCTCTGACACCTCGCTGTGCGTTAGATTTGCCCAATGGTCAAGCTGCACCCCATTCCCATTAAGTCAACATCTCTGGGGGTGGGACCAGGCATCAGCTCCCACGGACAGCCAAACATTCGAACCACTGTTCAAACCAATGCATCCTATCCAAGTAACTCAGAAACAACTCCAAGGCTCTTTCTGAGAGTCAGATATCAAAACATACAGGTAGCAGGGAATCTGAAAAAGGTAGGAAAACTAGAGCCTGGACTACAATTACTGCTAAAAGATTTATGTAGAGAGCTAGCAAGAAGGCAGCAAAGCATCAAGCCCTGCACATATATCATTTAGTAACCCAGAGATCTCCATCTACAAACCTTATAACAGATGTAGAACATAACAATGCATGTTTCTATAACCATTATAATAAGCTCCTACCTAAGCTTCTTCATGTCTATGGTCTCATTGTATTCTCACGACCACCCTCATGGGCACATAGAACAGTTATTATGAAGCACATCCAATAGACGGAGAAACTGAAGACCGAGAGAAGTTAATTGCCTGCCGACGCGCGCGGTGGGTCTGTGACACAGCTAGATCTGGAACCTGCGTCTTCCCGCTGGCAGCCCTTCACTTCTGCCACCAGGACATACGGCCCTGTGCTCCGTCCACAAATGAGCCTGGCACTACTACAGTCTGGGTTAAGGCGCCAGCTTGTGCAATGGCTTACGTAAAAACTTCTCTTCTCCCTCTGCTCCTTCAACATTCTCTGCACGTAAAGTTAACAAGGAAAAGAATAGTTCCCTTTTCTGAGGTTCACTTATCTACAACTAATGATAAAAACCATGGAAAAGTAAGTTCTTAGCTTATGAGAACCCCAAAGAAAATATCAAGGATGTCAAGATCATTCCCAAAAGTAGTTGTAAAAGATTTAGAAAGAGCCCTGGAAACTGAAAAGGAAGCATCATCTTACACTTGTACAAAATCACAGTGCAGCTGCACCAGGAATGCTGCATTCGCTTCTTGCCGCCATACCTCAGGGAAGACAATGCAGCTAGAAAAGGTCCAGAGAAGGACAAGTAAAATGACCAAGGGTTCAAAGTGGCTTCCGCATGGAAATAAAACTTAAAATTAGAATCTGCAAAGTGAAATAACAAGGTAAGGGGGAATACTGGGATGAAGTTTGGAATAAATTTAAAAGAGCAGTCTTCTACTTTCCAAAGTAATTTAACATGAGTTATTAATCTCCAAGAAGTCATATGATCAGGTCAATCAGAAATTAAAGACATTTCAGAAAACAGAATCAAAATGACTTATTTTTTATAATTAGGGCAACAGAGAGCCTTTCTTTAAATGTCTGATTTCATTAGGAAGGTCATCATAACCTCTGAAATAAAAAACCCTTGATATCCACATAAGACTGAACACTGGGGAGAGACGGTAAAATTAAGTCACAATACGTCCCTGGTGAACTTTCTTGAGCTTTTTGGGTCACCAACACAGGAGGGAGAAAGAGTCTTACCACCCGGTTCCACAGGGCACCCTGTTTACTTTGCATATCTGGGGTAAGGCGGATATACTGGGTCATCACCATGGCGCTGCCCATCAGATTCCACAGCGAGGAACTGCCTGTGCCCACACCTACAGGGAGGAAGTATATCAGTTCATGCCCTTTAACACCAACCTGTTCAGAAAGCCAGCACGGGCCCTCTGGAAGCTGGAGTCATCTTTTTTTTCCCTTTCATGTCAATCTCCAACCTCCTGTAATTCGTAAATCTTAAATCCTTACTATCTTTACCTTCCTTTCATAAAACCCTTCTCAGGTAAAGATCCCAAAGTACATCATAGCTATCGCTTTAGCCATGCCACAGTGACCAGAATTCAGATCCATTCTTCCCTTTTAATATGTGAGTAAATTTTAGCACCATGAAAGAAAAAAATGCCCCAGTTAAATCAAAAAGAGCTTGACTCTCAGGTCTCTGAGGCTTAATCACATTTCTTTAAATAATCCAAGCCTGACCCGGTACCTCAGACTCGAAGCCCCTTGAGAGTGAGAACTGTGTGTCTGTATAAACCCCAGCAGTAGCAGAGACCAGCAAAAAGGAAGCGCTCCATGTATCTGCGAAGTGAATAAATAATCACCCTTAACGGCCCTGTAAACGCTGGTGCACTCAATTTTGTTTGTTTGCTGTCCACCTACCCACATTCCAGTGGAGAAAGACACTTGCGTTAGCTAAGTCACGTGCACTGATTTGGTCCTCTTTGTAGCCAACTATATAAATTCTCTGCTTGATAATCTGTGCCTAGGGGCCTGTGAACCCTAAACAGATCAAAGGTACCAGCCTCTTTTATCAGTAGGGCTCCTGCACGGGAGAAGGGCAGGTGTTTTAACTGGCAAGAGAATTTCATTTTTTTCAATCGGACCAAGTTCTACCCCAGTTCTGCCTCCTGCTTTATTTCTAGCACATCTACAGCTCTGTCCCGAGACCGGCTCATTGCTAGTGGCCCTCCATCAATCGCTACCACTCTCAGTCTTCTCCCCTTCCCATATTCTTCCTGTCCAACTCCGAGCCCCGCTTTGTCCAGGCCTAGCGCTAGCGGGAACCAAGAGCCCTGCTTGCTTGGACCTACTGGAAACTTCCAGCGCTAAATGCGCGGAGGTTGCGGGGGAGCCTCGGAAAGTTGAACCCTACCCTTGGATCCTAAACACGGCGGGAGTCCCAGTGGGCCCCCACCCACCGCCAGAAGTTTCCTGGGGCCACGAAGCCCACCGCCGCCCGCCTCTACCGAGAAGCTCAGGTCCCGAAGCCCTCCCTGCGCACGACCACCTCGCCCGGGGCGCCTCACCCTGGTAGGGCTTCGACAACGAGTGCTCCCGTTTCAAGTACTCGAACGTCTGACCCGCCCCGACTTGCCGTGGGCCCTGCCCAGAACCCAACAAAAGGAGAAAGAGCAACATCCTGGGCCCATTCGGAGCCGACAAACGTCGCGCCCAACACCGCCACCACCCCGAGCGACCCAAAGTCGCCGCCATCTTTCCCACCGCCGTCCCTTCATCAAAAGCCCTCCCCATCTCAGAAACCATTGGCCCATGAAACCATCTGGCCCGCGTCCCATTGGTTCTTGTTCAGTCCCCGCCCCCACAGGTGAGCATCTCGCCGATTGGGTGGCTTGGGTTTAGTTGCCTTGCCAACCCGGGAAGGGAGCGTGGCCGAATGCCTGTACTCCCTTATTTGCATTTGACCCGCGCTCCGCAAGGCCTGGTGGGATACGTAGTGATTTCCTTGTGTCGGCTATCCAGAGTAGATTTAAAGAGATAAAAGGTTTCTTCTGCGATCTAGAGTAAATTTAAAGAGATAAAATGTTTCTTCCTGTCCCGTGCAAACGTTCTATCCTTCCTGCCATACCATCTTCGGCTGTGCCGACCTATCAATCAGAAGCATGTAGAACTGAAAGGAAAAATAGACAAATCCACAATTAAAGTAGCTGGAAAATTGTGAGGAAAGTTATCAAATTTACAAGATACTTGAACAGCACTATCAAACAACTTGATGTGATGACATTTATAGAAACTCCACCCAACAACAGCTGAAGACTCATTCTCTTCAAGTGCAAAAGAAACATTTCCCAGAGAGTTTGGGCCAAAAAAATTTTTTTTTTAAATGGGCCAAAAATAAAGATAAAAAAATACCTTCACAAATTGAAAGCACACAAAGAATAAGTGAACTTGACCAGAAATCGATAACATAAAGATTTCTGAGAAACCTCAAATATTTGGAAATTGAACAACTCACTTCCAAATAACTATGAAGGCGTAGTAAGAGGTAGTACTGGAGGACTTGAGCAGGCCTTCTAAGAAATGAAACAGAGTAAACAATCCCTTACCTGGGTAGCAAAGCAATACACAACACCCTGAGACCAAAAAAAGCGAGTCATCCCAGTTTCTCTTTTTCCTCATCAATTCCACCATGCAATCAATAACTAATCAAGTCTTGATAACTTTATTTTTACTTTGCAAAGCTATCACATCCTATCAATCCCTCCCTTTGTCTTTCTCCAGAACCACAACAACATGTGTCCCTACTGTTCTCGATACCATCATCCACAGGGCCACCCAACTGATCTAAACCATCTATATCTACCATGCCACTTTCCGAGTGCCCGGGTTAAATGAGTTGAAAATAGTAAAGCTCTTAGAGTAGTTCTGGCATGTAGTAAGCATAACGTCATCTTCATTATTATTAACAGAGCCCTTGATGGCTCATCTTTACCTGTGGGGAAGAGATTCAGCCACTCAATTTGGCACACAAAGTCCTTTGCCATCAGCCCTGAGCCTCTTCTGGCCTTATTACCCTCAGCTCCCTCCCTTCATTCATCTGCTCCAGCTTCCCCTCTTCCCTCTGGGGAGCCCCACTCTGAGCTCTCAATGTACCCCAAGCACATTTCTTATAGAGCATCTGCCTTCACAATAGACTTAACCAAAATTAACTCTTCCCTGAGCATAAATATATTTAATAAGAGAAACATAAACATAAGCCTGTTTTACAGAGGATCAACTTTTTAAATTAAAGCTGTCACAGCCATTGATTTTTTTACACACTCCACACAAAGTATATGTTTGATGATAAGACATTATAAATTGCAATGTATCTATGTGTTGTCATACCCTGACTTTAAAATCGTTCATGGCTCCCAAGTACCATGGGATAAAATCCAAATTCCTTAGGGTAGCATTCAAAGACCTTCAAAAACCTGGCTCAAATCAGGTCGTACACATCTATTATGATGTGTCACCCTGAATTATGTAGCTCAACCAGCAGATTATGTGTTTGTCTCCCCAGCAAGGCCCAGAGCTCCTGTACCACAGGAAGCAGGTCTTACTCATTTCCTATCCCAGGCCCCGCCCATTTCTCCTTTCTCTATCCCATCACCCGGCACACAGTAGGAGTTCTGATTGTTTTGCATAAAATTCTTTCCATTGCATTTCTCTGTTAGCTGTAATTTTTTATTGTGGTAAAATATGCATTATACAAAATTTACCATTTTAACCAACTTTAAGTATTCAGGTCAGAGGCATTAAGTGCATTCATACTGTTGTAAGATCTATCAACTGCATTTTCGATAGGTTATTTCAGCAGATCTCTCACTGTAAAATTCATTAAGATGAAGTAAAGGGAAATAATGGAGATGGAGAGCATGAAAAAGATGAAATGCACAGGACATTAAACCAGATGATTTTGTTCAGACTATTATAGGGAGAATGCTCACTCATGAGGAACTACTGAGAAAAGGAAGGGGGCTGATATAGAGGCAGGTAAACAAGGGGGTCATCGCAAGGAGGATGGGGAGGGTCTTATCTGAGTTACTGAGGAAAGGGGGAAGTGGGTCATCTTAACTTCGAACATTCTAGAGCAGGATAGTCCTTTGAGGTCAGCCATTACTCAGAACTCAAAATGGGGTGGGAGGGTGGGACACAAAGCTGCTTTCCAAAAGTACAGGTTTCAGATAAAGCTCAGCACCTGTCAAGGTGTCCGGGGGAGGTGGAACGAAGGAGAAAAAGGAGCCACATCCCCTCCAGCACTGCTCTACATACACCAAGAGGCGCCTTCTTAAAGCCAGGTCAGGTGTTGACAGACCATCCTGTCAGCTGCTTAATATTCCTCTTTTCTCCATGGAACCATCTCCCAAGATCTTGGGCTGCACACCCCGGGGTGGGGGACATTTATATACAATGTGAGTTGTGCATTCCAGCAGTTCTGAGTGGTCCTCTACTTTCCTGTCTTTAAAGCCAAACAGGTGCCTTCACTTAGGAGCACCTTTTAGCCTGATCCCACCTATGACAGAGGCTCCAAGGCAGTCTATTTACCCCATCCTTTCCCTCGCACTCTTCACTTCTGAACCCCGTCATTCCATTTAAATCCACTCCCATCCCAAATCTAGGACCCAAGGCAGGGCTTAACGTCAGCCGTCCCAATCCCAGGTAGACCATTCCACCCTCCTCAGGGACATGGGTGGAGCCTTGAGGTTGGGCCCATCTTCACCCTGAAAGTCAGAGCTGACTCGGCTCAACCCTCCTGCCCCTCCAGTCCTCTGAGTAGACCCTGGAGCATAGAAGGGGACAGTAACTCTAACAGTAACTAGCTACTTTCCTGTGTGACTTACAAATTCTGGCCTCCCAACAAGCCACAATTAAATAGCTTTGGGTGCACCCAGATGCCTGGGTCCCATTCCCAGACACCTGATTCATAGGTCTGGGGCAGGGCCTGGGGCCTTGGTTTTGAAACTCTCCCCCCAGAGAATTTGATATGCAGCCAGTTTCCAGAATCAGAGCCCTTTCCCATCCAAGACCTCATTTCACTGCCACAACGTCTCAGTGGGGTGGACAAGGCAGGCAGTACTGTGCTTGAAGACTAGGACATCTGTGCTCAGTTTATACAGTAAATTTCAAACAAGGTACAGCACCTGAACTGAGAGATAAGATTTAGTATTTGCTTTAAAATATTCTAGGGAAAAATCATGTATGGCGGGGCGGGGGAGAGAAGGATAGATGAAAAAAAAGGCAGCGGGATGTTGATCAATGTTGAAGCTGACTAATGGGGATGTGGGGACTCCCTGTAGCTTTGTGTGTGTTTGAGAGTTGCCATAATAAAAAGGTTTTTAAAAATCCCCCTTGGAGATGATTAGGAAATGTGCTGGGTATACATTTGTGGTGTTTTCTAAATTTCCTCCAGGGAATGAAAACTGTAATTAACTATAATCTAGCAAAGTTCATTGTGACCCATCCAATGTAGTGTTGTCGTAACTAAAAAGAGAGGAGTCTGCAGTCTAGAAAAAGAACAGTCAGGGGAGAAAATATGTTAGAGCATGTCAATTTTGTCCAGGGCAGAGAGTATTCCCAAGCGTCTGTGTCGGTTATTTGAATCAAGCCTCACATTCATAGGGACTTCCCATTTAACATTCTAGCCTTCCCAGCAGTTTAATTTCTGAGTATAGCAAGAAATTTGTATTATCATATTATTTTATTGCTAATATTCATATATTAATTAAGAAGTTAACATTTGGGTTTGTCACTTAATTACTTGCTTAGTGGGTGTGACTTACCATCCCCAATCTCTTTACACATCAGTGAATGGATATAAAACAATGAACTGAGGACCAGATCTCTAATCAGCAGGCAGAAGTCCCACAATTTAGAGACTGCCTCTACGCATCCAGATGCCTACTTGTCACAGATTCGGGACATAAGTTTCACCAAGAATTGCGGAATGAGGTAGGCGAGAGGGAAGTGAACCTTGGCATATTTGAGTTGGAGTGGAAATATCTGCTTTTTTTAGATCCAGCTCTATTGTATGACCTTGGGCACATTGCGTACCTTCTCTGAGCCTCGAATCCAATCCAGTTGGGAGTGATGACACCTACCACTCTAGATTGTTGACAGCCAATACATGAAAGATTGTATCAAGAAGGCACAGGCACACTGTAGACTCTAGAGAGTTCTATAAGTATACAAATTCCTATTGTTTGTAAAGCTTTGTTATGGCTGGCCTGCTTGTGTTCTGAAATGTGTTTTGGGAAAGTGGGTTTGGCCCCTTTAGAAGGAAGTACAGGTGTCAGAAGTAGATGTATAATTGACATAGGAGCCACTAGCTGGCTTGAGGGTACTGCCCAGGGGTCTGGGGCACAGAGTAGAAGTGGGTAACGTGCAAATCCCATCACTGGGGTTTTATACTTAGAAACATGATCAACTATCGCTTCAAAGATCCAACAGCTGAGAAAAGGCCCGGGGGGTATAATTCTCCTCATCTACCCTCTCCCTGTGGAAGATGGATGGATGTAGGAGCCCCGAGCTCTCTCCGGGAGCTGCGTGGGTGGAAAAGGGCATGAGGATGGCTGAGCTGTGACTCTGGTAAGAGTCAGTGGGCGGAGTTGATGAGGTTGGAAATGCCCATTCTGGCAGCGGGCAGAGCCCATCACCACAAGGAATGGCAGAATCTCCAGGACTGATGGGAGCTGTGGGGTCTAGGAAGCCATCCTGGGGCTCTCAAGTTCACCTGGCCTGGAGTCCA